CTCATGTTGCAGTGGCTTCGGAAAGCTTCATAGTGATGTGATTTAACCTGTTGTGCTACCAGGGAGGGCCCCTAGCATTATTCTTAGCGAGGCTTTTCAACACAGATGCAAAATTTACACCTTTTATTAATAAATCAAAAAGACAAAAAGACATGAGAGGCTTTGTACATTTTTTCCCAAGAGCTACTTGGATACTGTTAGAATATTTTTAGCTTCAGGAAAACAAAGTACCAGGAAAGCAAGAGGAGTGAGCAGACTGAACAAAATCCCAGCCTGAGGCAGTTTGTGGGAAGATCTGCTAAAAAAAGAACTAGAGTGTCAGAGGAAGACAAGAAATTCCATTCCTTTCTCTAGTGAGAACAGTAACAAAAAGATACAAAGTTCACTGAAAAGTAAACTGTTAACCTAAAAGAGTTTAAATGAACACATACTTCCTACCCCACTAGAAAACAGTGAATAATAAACTTAAAAGCAGAAAAACATCCCTTTCAGATGTGTGTGGGTAGCAAGATCAAAACCCCTCTCTTTATCAAATGTGGTCAGTCCCAATAAGTAACACAGCTATCATTTCCCACCATCTCAGTAAACCACCCTATTGTTTCACAGATCCAAGTCTTGGAGCTCATCTCTGAGGTGTGAACTGTAACTCACCCGGTTTCTGATCAGGCTCCGGCCAGGACTTGCGTAGAACATGGACTGTGGACCCAGGCTGAATGCCATAGAAGTCAAGGGTCTGGTCATCTTTTAACTTCCGGCCACAATAGATCAAGTCTAGAAAAAAAAACTGTCCATTTATATTTTGCTCCTGAAAACAATTTTTTTTTAGATTTATTTATTCATACAGAACTGGGGTACAGGCCAGAGACAGAGCGGGGAGCAGAACAGGCAGACTGACGAAGTACACTGCTGAGGGGAGCAGAGGGTGGGCCAGGAGAGGTTTGCCGTGCCATGTGGTCACCTCCAGGGCAGGTGAGGATCAAACCCATGCGGAACTGGCTTAAGCTTCCCAGTGCTGTGCTTTAACCCGCTGCGCCACTAGGGAGGGCCAAAAACAATTTTAATGGTTTCTGTCCCCTAAGAATCCGATCTGGGTTGGACAGACAGCTGAAGAATGATACATGTTTTGTGCTCTTGTTACTACACTTTAACAATTGTTAATGAACATAAACTCATAAAATCCAGCATCTACCACAGAAAACTCCACAGCTAAGCACTGAGGTCTGCTTGATTTAAATGCATGGGAAATGCAACAACAAAAATGGATAAACCCATTTTTTTGCCAGTTGCATCCCCAACTATATAAATTATACTTATCTAGATAATTAAATTCTTCTTTTACCTAGAATGGCCTTACCAACTTCTTTTCCTTTTTTACTGCTATCCCTCCAAACAAAGAAATAAAGATCCTTCTCATCATGCCTAAATACCCACCTCCAATGCCATATACTGGGGTTTCCTTACCAGCATGTTCTTCCCCAGACCACCCCAAATTCTTGCTTATTTGGAGAAAGAATTCAAAAAGTCATAATTGAGAAACTGTATAAAATAGGTCAGTGTAGTATACAGCTGAAATAGCAACCAATAGCTTTTATTATGATCTGTGTTTCTATTCACCCAGTATACTCACGTCCCTGATGTGTGCCCATTTTGAGACAACAAATCCCAAATTCTTAATTCTAAAAAGATCCCCTGCCAAAAGAGCAGCAGCCCACCCCAGGCCACAGAGACTCACCAATCAGCTCAGGGTCTGGAACAGACTCCTGCAGTTTGCCAGCAATAAGCTGCTTCAGAAAGGAAATACTATAGCCCCCCAGTGAGTACTCTCCCAGCTCTGTCTCTGGCAATCGAAGAACAGACTTTGGGGCAAGTGGCTGGTCAGCCAACTTCACTGCCAAGTGCCAATCTGAGAGAGACATCCTCTCTCTTTCACGCTCTCTCTTTCTCCCTGTAAAGAAACAAGAGTCTGTTAAAGGGCAGATCACCACCTTACTCCATCCCCACCCCACCAGTGGGTTGAATGAGAGGTAATTGAGTATGACAAAGTTGGGAGAGCAGAGAAGGCAGCACTCAGAGGCAAGACCTAGAATCTGGTGTGCTCTTTTTACTCATCGGCAAGGAACTTCAGTTCTCTAGGCCTCTGCTCTTCTCCTTAAAATACTGTTTCAAATAGTAAGAAAGCTGTGGGGTTCTAATGAGATCGCCAAACCCCCCTCTTTAGTTACAATCTATTGTCTTCAACAACTCTTGCTTGAATAGTTCCCTGCTTCTTGCCTCTCTTGATCAAATAACACTGCCACACATTTCACCATTTTGAAATACAGATCTGCTCAAGTCCTCTGCTTAGAACTCCTCCAACTCTGTGAAGAAGTCTAAGCCCCACAGCCTGACTTACCAAAACATTCACATCCGTTCCCTCTGCCAGCCTACAACCTCCTCCTCCACTGAACTTCCACTCCAAACAAATTCTCCCCCACTTAACACCTCTGCTCATCTGCTAGCTGCGCATATAATTCCCTTCCCCACTTTGGCCTTTTAGCAAACCTGCCACAAAACAAACCAAATACAGTCTCCTGGTCCTCGCCCTTTCCTCTGCTGTCCTTACCTTACCGCCTGCCCCAATCCTCTGCGGTTCCCACAACCCCTCAAAACTAAGGGCAACACGTACCTCTTTACTGCTCAATCTCCTCTATCCCCTTCTTAAAGAGGCCCTTGAAAACAAAGGCTAGAAATTTTTGCCTTTATTGTCCCCATGTGGTGGCACATAAAGGACCCAGAAAATAAATCGGAAATTCTGAGGTTGACAGAATGTTATAACCCAAGACAAGTCCTTCCAAGAGGCCTCGGGTAGAGAAGACAAGACTGAGGTTGACAGGGCGTCCAACGGACTCTATGGCACCCTCATGGTAACTTCCATGTCAGGCTTAAGCCAGGGGTGGGGCTTTTCAGATATCATATCTCATTTAACCCTCACAACTGTTCCCTGAAGCCGGCATTACTACCTACATATTCTAGGGAATTTAGAATTAGAAGGCTGAAATCACTGACCCAAGATCACAGACAGTTAATAGTAAGACAATGACACTCTCTTTGGGGGCGACCCCACTGTTCCCCTGGGACCTGCTAATTAGTCGACGCCAGTGGAGCCCGCGCGGCAGGGTCCCGGCGCTCTCACCCGTCCCGCGGAAGGAACCCGGCCGCAGAGCCGCCGGTGTAAACACTCACTCCGGTCGTTTCGCCGGAAACCGGAAGTTCCGCGCTGCATTCTGGGAGTTGCAGTGCCCACCGAGGCCCCGCCCCCTATAAATAGTTGGTCCGCCCAGACGCGCTAATTGCAACGCTTCCGCTTCCGGGGAAGGCGTGGCCTCCGAGCCATTTAAAATATCAGGCGCGAGGTTGGTCTGGTGGTACGTCCCAGACGTTCCTGCTCTGTGCGGTTCGAGACCGGGAAACCTGATGTGTGTTTACAGCCCCGTGAGTCCTCGCGCAGTCCGGGGAAGCCGACTAGAGCCCTGCCGTCAGCGCCGGGGATGGGAACGCCCGCTGCTCCGCGGCTTCTCCACGCAAGCCCAGCGGCTCCTAGCAGTTCTCACAGGAGAACGGGTGAAGTCAGCCTCGTTCCTCTTGCGCTCTTCACACTGACTTCCCGCGGCGAAGCTGCCGACAGGGGCACACCAAGAGTCATGAGGGCTCACTGCAACTTGGGTTCATTGAAGGGAAGATTAAGGGTCCTGGTGCACCCCAAGTTGGTTTGATTACTTGAAGTCATGCAGAGTATCACTTCGGGGCTGTAGGGAGAAGGGAGATTTTCCTGAACAGCATTTCTCTGAACTGTAAGAGGGGAAATGCAAGTTAAGTACCTAGTTAGAATTGGATTTGGGGGCCCTCCCTGGTGGCACAGCGGGTTAAAGCACTGCACTAAGAAGCTTAAGCCACTTCCGCATCAGTTCGATCCCCGCCTGCCCCGGAGGAGATCCACATGGCGTGGCAGACCTCCCCTGACCCGCCTGCTGCTCCCCTCAGCAGTGTACTTCGTCGACCTGCCTCTTCTGCTCCCCACTCTGTCCCTGGTGAATCCTCTCACCCTCCGCATCTCTGGCCTATACCCCAGTTCTGTATGAATAAGTAGATAGATCTTTAAAAAAAAAAAAAAAAAGATTGGATTTGGGGGTGAGGGGCAAAATTTAGGATTGACATTAAAGTGGGCCTTCCTTTAATTGAACTCTATTTGAACCAATTCAAGGAAAGCAAACAAAACACAAGTAAATGAATTGGAACCACCCCTCTGAGGCAGCTATTTTTAATGGGCGGGGCATCCCCGGGAATTGAACACCCAGCTAAAGGTGGTTCCAGTGGACACAAATGTCAAAGAGTAACTAGAGCGTCTTTATATTGGGCACTAGGGCAGCAAATAGGTTAGAAGAGAACAAATTGCAGGATCTGGGCCGGCTAACATTGTAAAGGCAATTAACATCGCTGCTTTTCAGATTGGCTGAAGTCCAGTCCCTTCTCCTTACTCATTTTTACACACACCCTATTAGAACCCCTTCACTATTCTAACCCTCTAGGCTCTTTTCTAGCCACTAAAATACTTAAAATTGAAGCTCATAATTTAGTGTTTGGTTAGGCGTTGCACAATATATTGCCCTTAATTGCCTGAACCAGGGGCCCTGTTTTCATTTCATTTTCCTCAAAGTAAAAATATATAAGTGTTTATGCATCTTCATTTCAATCTCCATAGGGAAATAGCCAATGACTATCTTGGCCTTCACTTTACCTTTAGCATTTGAAAAAGGGCTGGCACATAGTAAATGAGCAATAAATAAGTACTGAATGGATAATTCAGGCCAAAGCTATCAAACACATGTGGCTCTTTTGCTGTAACTTAGTTGCTCCCAAGAGAAGTGAGCCTCTCTACTTCTGTTGATTGTAATGCTATATTAGTAAATGAGCAAATGATTGATGACATAATCCATAACCAAACAGGTTCTCAGAGACCCAAGCTGTGAAGTAGGTGCCGTGCCTTGAATTCAGGGTAAGATTCGAAAAAATTTAAAAACCTGGACACAAGACTAACCCAATGTGCATTATGAAGGAAAGCGTCCAAACAATTGACACTCAGAGATAATGATGTCCTTATCAGCACTCTGAGAAAGTGATGGACATTTATTCATGAAGCCTTCAATAAATTATGCTGTTCAATCATTAACTATTTGAAGACTATAAGAATGCACATTTAAAGTAACCTTTAAAATAATATTATAAAATTAATGAGATCTCTGGATCTGGCAAGATAGCAAATGAAAGTCATCTGTGAATACTACTACAAGCAAATGTGTAACATAATACTGTTATTGAAAATCAGAAAGCTGTAGTCACAGGAAGAGGGAACTGGAAACAGGCAGTGAGCTTGAAAGTTAATGGCACCTCTCCAGAGAGATCAGTGGTTCGGGAAATCTTACTTGAGATTGTTTTAACACCAAGCACTGCATAAAGCTGAAGCCTTGTAGAGTTGCATCTGAAGTGAGAGGACAGACTACAAACAGAAGCCAACAAATCCATGCCTCCCAGTAAGGTTAGGTAAGATGAGTTCTTCCTGAGGGCAGGGCAGTGAAAAGGGAGTTGATGTGTGTAAGAATAGCCTTCGCTAGAATTTGAAACCCCAGGTCTATATATATACTTTGTTCAAGTTTATGATCATACTTCCCAGAAAATCCAGTATTGGTCCTGTTACTATTACATACACTGGCAGTGGTCTATAATGTCCAATGGAAAGATGGCAAAAGTGAGACCTTAAGTGATCAAAGATTTCAATGGCAGGAAAAAGTGTAGTTGGGTAGATTTTGTGAGTGAACTTGATATAATGGGGGGGCAGGGGTGGCAAAATAACATGTACATCATTTGAGTCCTTCTATGCATAAATAAATAAATCTTTAAAAAATAAGTAAATAAAAATAATGTGGATGTTCCCTTTTCTCTTTTTAAAGGTTAATTTATTTATGTATACAGAGTGGGATACAGGCCAGAGGTGGGTTTAATGGACAGAGGATTCACCAGAGACAGAATGGGGAGCAGAACAAGCCGACTCACAAAGTACACTGCTGAGGGGAGCAGTGGGCAGGTCAGGAGAGGTCTGCTGTGCCATGTAGGTCACCTCCCTGGCCAGGAATAGAACTCATGCTGTAGTGGCTGTGATAGCTTCATAGTACTGTGCTTTAACCCCTTCACCAGGGAAAGCCCTGTGTTCTGGAACATTTTAAGTAGCTTTAAAGATTTGATAAATTCACCTGTGGATCCATCTGGGCCTTTGACATGACCACCCCAAAGGGAAACACAATGGTCTGGGTATGAGTCCTCATCCACATATGCTTAAAAACTAAGGACTGGCCCTCCCTGGTGGCGCAGCAGGTTAAAACAAGGCACTGAGAAGCTACAGCCAATTCCACATGAGTTCGATTCCCACAAAAAAACTCAGGACAAGACTCAAGGGCACACACGGAAAGGTTAATAAAAGGTTTATTTACAAGAGAAGTGAAGAGAACCAAAGAGATTAGTTGATCAAACTGTCCTACTGGTAATACTGTCTAAGCTGGGACCCAAGTGCATACTTAAGACAGGCAAAACCAGAAGGCACAGGCCCACCTGTGTTCAGACTTATACCAAGCATTGCTGCTTCATTCCATGCTTAGTTCCCAGCAATCTCCCCTTCAAGATGTCAAGTCATGACAGATTTATGACATGATGTGAGTTGTAATCCTCAGTACCTGGGATCTCCTTGGCAACCAGGTGGGTGTGGAGTCAGAAAACATCAGTGTGTAGAGTTCACTGAAGAGCTACTATTTACCTACCAGGCCTCCAGGCCTTGCACCTTTTTTTTTTTTTTTAAAGCTCTATTTATGCATACAGAACTGGGGTACAGGGCAGAGGTGCAGGACAGTGAGAGGATTCACCAGAAACAGTGGGGAGTAGAACAGGCAGATTGACAAAGTACAATGCTGAGGGGAGCAGAAGATGAGTCAGGAGAGGTCTGCCATGCCATGTGGATCACCTCTGGGGCTGGGGATTGAACTCACACTGAAGCAGCTGCCACTAGCTTGCAGTGCTGCATCCTAACCTGTTGCACTACCAGGCCACCTCGCACCTTTTTGATGGGTATTCCTTTGCATGCATTTTTTATGTTTACTAGGGTCAATTTTTGTAAATAATTTCTATGTAGTTTAGGTTTTCAAATGCATTTGTCTATGTTTACAAAAAGAAGTTTTTTAAGACTTTTAAATTTTCTCCTGTTTCATCATTTAAAAAATACACTTAATATTTATGTCTTTTCCTTTTTATATTTCTGATGAGTAATGTGTTTTTTAACTTATTATGTATTTGTTTGTTTAATACATCATTCTTCACTTTGTACATTTTTCCATCCCAGTTGTAGTTGTGGGCTTCCCACCATCAATTCACCCATGTGCCATCGCCATAGTCCTGTGCCCTCTTCCCAGCCCAGTTTTTTTTTTTTTAATCCCATTCCGTTTCCACCCTATACTATATCTCTGATTTATAGTTGTTCATCATTCTCATTTTTACTTTATTACATTTGCTTCTCTCTCTCTCTCTCTCTCTTTTTTTTTCTCCTGATCCCTTACACTCCTGCTATGAGTGAAACCATCTAGTATTTTTCTTTGTGGCTGATTTCACTAAGCATGATCCCTTCCAGCTCCATCCATGTTGCTGCAAAAAGCATGAGTTTATTTTTTTTTTGGTTGCTGAGTAATATTCCATTGTGTATATGTACTACATCTTTTTAATCCAGTCATCTACTTTTGGGCATTTGGATTGATTTCACATCTTTCCTATTGTAAATAGTACAGCAATAAACATAGAGGTGCAAGTGTCCTTTTGAATTGATATTGTTGTGTCCTTTGGGTAGAAACCTAGGAGTGGGATTGCTGGGTCATATGAAAGCTGTTTTTAGTAGTCTGAGAAATCTCCAAACAGCTTTCCATAGAGGTTGTACCAGTTCTTATTAGTAATGTTAGCTAGTGGTTTGTTTATTTGAATATTCCCCCCACCCCCAAATTAGCAGTTGGATTTGTTTATTCTTTTTAGATTCTCCCATTTTCTAACTCACTAACTTTTGTATATGTCTTCCTTAATTTCCTCACTCTGCTTTCTTTTGGCTTGCTTTACTTTTAAAAATTTTAGTTGGCATTTGATTTTACTGATACAG